TAAGACCATAATGTCCACAACCAATTCTTGCTTTACCCACTCAGGACTCCTGGACGAGCTTTCCCTCACTCTAAAGGTACCAACACCATTTAATCAAATTGATCTGAAATCCTCAACAGTAAAGAGAGAATGTAATCTCTCATATGCGGCTGTAGCTCAGCTATTTCAAACACTTCTCACTACCCCTCTGAAGTGTGAACCAACCACATTATTGATTCTACACATCACCATCCATTCTCAGCAACCAGGTTCGATCCCTGCACCTCACAACAATAACACACGTATGCAGCGACAGCATCCGCTTCCTTCTCAACGATTTCAGACACTATTTAACCCTCGTCTAACCAAAGTTCTTCTCACCTCTGTGATTGGAGGGCATCTATCGGCTTCCATTCCTCATATGGTCACCTACGACGTCTGGGTTCTCCATAACTATATTGATGATCCTGGTTGCGAGTATGCAAAACCAGAAAGTTATACATCAAATTTTTGAGAATTCAAACTATCGTCTTTTGATAACATAGCGACGACGCCGATCGACTAGTCCTATAAAAGGAAACCCCCCCCCAAGAAATGGTTCAATTCACACTTAATCTCCAGGAAGCTTCTACACTTCAACGAGTACGTTCATGCCTCTATGATGCTGGCCTTACCACAGTTATCCTTCCGAACTCACCAACGATCTGCGTATACCGATCGTGACTGGTGTTGATCTAGAAGTAGCTGAGTTACATACAAAGCGTCAATGTGGCCCTTCTATTCGCTATGTATACTTCAACACCAAGTTGAACAAAATGAAAAATAAGATTTGGCCAAGACTTGGTCTGGCGCCCGCCCACGATTAACATAATCGAGCTTGTGAATATTCGATTCGCCCGCCCTCCGAGCGCTCAGGGAAATCACACACATGCTCGGTGGCTCATTTCCATTAAGAAATTAATATTCTTCGTACTACTAATTAGTTGCTGCGAAAACTGAAAAAATTTCTTTGTGCAAATTGTGTTGTCATGTACATGCGTGCAAGGTGATAGGTCCGTCCCATACTGCTCAGTGTTGCCGCCATGCTCCGTTCACTACGACCTGATTCGGAAGTACGACGCGGTTGGAAAACTTGTACATGGTTGACTACATGTGTTGGTGGGTATGTGAAAAAACAGAGCAAATTTTGGGAAAATCTTGTTGGTGTTTTTGTACACTCTTTTCTGGAGCCGTATACGAATTATTATGAAGTAACGGTAGTAGGACATCCGAGATCATCAGAGTCGCGATTGTTACTATTTTAGCGCTCAGTTTGTGTCTAATATGCATACGGGAGTGCTTCTAATCCTCACCGTTTGGGGACAATACGGAGTTACCCTCGTCGACGCCACACTCACTCGTGGTGCGAATATTCGCAAGTCCTCGACGCTTTTCAATCGTGGTGGATCCCTCCGAAAATCCCTACTGCGGTCGAAGGTAATATCCACGACAGTGGGCTGTTGTTTCTAGCGTTCTACTTCTGCTGTTCAGAATGTGTGCGAAGTGAAGAGCTTCGAGGTGGAGGGTTACGGTCAGTTTATGCTTCCCGCAGTGTTTTATGAGGGTGGTCGAACTTTCAGGAGATAGTTATGTATATGACTATGATGAACTGGACTGGGAAAGAGGGATGTGGTTCAGAAGGAGCCTAGAGGATGGACGGATGAGCACCGAACGTGTTGATTGTGGTAAGGGTAGTGGAAAAGAAATCATCCGTCAGTAAGCATTGTGTAGTTCACGACTAAGGGATGATGATCTTTCCTATTGTAGATCTCCGGAAAAGGGACTGGCATGCGTTGACGAGAAGTGTTTTACAGACCCAGTATGGGAGATGAACATAAGAATCTCGGAGGAAGTCCCGAACAAGCTCGAGAAATTCCATCAGAATTTCCTCTTCCATCTTTTCAACGGCACTGCTTATGAAGATTTCACATGTCGCCATCTGCGTAAAGCTCTGTGTGCAAGGTTAGCGGAGGCGAAAAGGAGTTCCTCGGTCCAGCTGCACTTTAAGGACGATTCGGTGACACGGGTAATGTATCCCAAAGTGCCTGTCACCGACGAACGTGAGCGTAAGCTTTCTCCCATGGCTGCGGCCAATCTGGATTATCTGATTCATCACAAGCATAGTACTTCCCGTTTCCACCGTCTGCCATCCCCGGGAGGCAGGCCTCGTTCGGACGACAAACTCCCAGTCACAAGTTATGAGAGTAGTGTGTGATTCGTTAAGCTGTGGTAAACATGCATGAGCCTCGGAACACCCTCTGTTGTTATGTAATGGATATACACTGTAGATGTTCATCGTCGTGGATGCTCCGATGTTGGGTTTTACGGGTCGTTGAAATCATATCTTGCATCTGTGAGTTGGTCTTACCAGGAGCTCTCCGAATCGTTCCTGTGGCACGAAACTTCCAGGGTCCATAGTGTTTGGATAGGAAAGTCCTGCTGCGACGTTGCTCGTGCGAGACTTCTCGTGAGCGTCCCTCGTCCAGCTAGATGGGGTAGAATGTTGGATTTGTATAGGTATGCAGTCCAGTTGGGTTTTGATGTTAGGTAGTGATAGCATTAGCGATCTCCTCGGGTTCGTCTGTCAGTCTTTCCCCCTTTTGATGACCTACAAAGTCCTCATTGTTCTCTTCGTCCTCTGTGCTGAGCCAACTGGAGGTATACGTGGACCAGAGAAGGAGAAAGGGCATCCTCCCCGACATGTGCGACCAGTGCCTTACAATTATCATGGCCCAGCTGTTGGTGGTGGGCCGGGGCAGGTGATGGATCTCAGCAGAGGACGCTACCTTGATCATCGTGATCGTCGTGATCATCGTGGTCATCGTGATCGTCGTGATCATAGCGGTCATCGTGATCGTAGTAGTCATCGTGACCGTCGTGATCGTCGTGACCATCGTAACATGATCTTGACCCCACAGAAGACCAGGAAGATACGTGGGCTGATGAAGGGGGAAGCCATTGACGACGGC